GCCTCTTGGTGTTGAAGAAATTCGTTCCCTTCATTTGAAAATGGGCCTTGTACAAGGCCCTATCTTCAACATGGAGCGACCGTTAGTGTGACGTCACCTCGTTTAGTCGTTCTGATTTAAATGGGTTTGTTCGTTGAAAAATCGCTTAAAACTTGGTCTGAACTTTGTTGTGGTGCCTAGAGAGTAAAAAGAATCAGCTTTATGACAGTAATGTGGCCTGGGGAAGGAGGTAATTTTGGGCTGTGACGTCACACATTTTAAAGTTTGTGTTTGGAATATGGGAAGCCTAAGATGTTTAATGAAAAATAAATGCCAGAAACGTGTTCCTGGTCATCCAATCTATAAAGTCGGGCACAATTTAACTGGTTTTAACAACATTTTAGAAGGTGGGATAGTCCCTTTAATGAGCATGAGGTTATTTCTTTTCGCTCTTATAAATCAAATTACTATTATAAAACTCTAAAACTATATATGGATGTATGTGAGTCTGTCTCTGTTGGCGGTTATTGCTCCGAAACTGTGCGAACTGCGCCGGTGAAATTTTCAGACAAAGTCAAAAGCCTGCAAAAATTGGTTGCATTAAAATTTGGAGCGTGCACGATTCAAATCTCAAATACCATCACAAAATAACACGGAAAATTAATCGCGAAATTTATTTTCCCATAGTCATAGAGCGGGTCGATCGGGTGCAGCCTTATGTTGATGCAGACCCGGGTGTGCAATGGATATTGGGCACAGCTCACTTGCATATCCTTAACTGCTGCAGCGTTTCAAAATTGCCTCTCTCGCTTCTTGCAGAGTTCAGCACATTCTCAATACAAAAAAAAAAAAAATGACAGACGACGCCGACCACCACGGACGGACGACAGGGACCACAACGGACAGAGTACACGGACCATAATAAACAGAGGACAAGGACCATAACGGACAGAGTACACGGACCATAATAAACAGAGGACAAGGACCATAACGGACAGAGTACACGGACCATGATAAACAGAGGACAAGGACCATAACGAACAGAGTACACGGACCATGATAAACAGAGGACAAGGACCATAACGGACAGAGTACGAGGGGGTATCGAAAAGTTCTGATCATCACATAGAAGATATAGACCGATTTTGATGATTTTTGGTAGGCATTATATTTGGTTCTCAAGAACAATGTTCCCACAAAGAAAATCCTGAGAAGTGGTTTTATCTTATGCAGGAGAGACTTAGAAGTAAAAAAGATGAGCATTGGGCCCACTGAGGACCGAACCGTCATCCAACTAATGCATTTGAAACGGTATCACACTGATAAAATACATCAAGAACGTGAACTTAGTTTATGGCGAAGAAAGCCCATCTCATGCACTTACCGAAAATGAAGAAATAATTTTCAACTTGGTTGCATGGCCTTTGCAAGGGAGTCAAGAAGTGAGTGACTACCAGTGATTGACAAGGTGGTGACTGTGAAGGAAGTGGAGGACCTCATCCTTACAGATCGTCGAGTGGCCTTTCAGATGATTGTGCAACAGAAAGGTCTCAATGCTGGCAGTGTCTGAAAATATTATCAGCGAAGAACTACAGACGATAAAGGAGTCAGCCCGCTTAGAAGTTCGTGTGTCTACTTTGTTCGAGAGAAAAATTCGTCTTGGCCTTTCGAAACGAAAACTAGGCCTTTTTTAGGAAATTGAAGACATCTTTGATTATTTGATGACTTGTGACGAATGCTGGGTCTATGTGTATGATTCAGAGACAAAAAGATGATCTAGAAGTTTAAGCACGGCACATCTGCCCTTCTTAAAAGGCGAAGATGCAGAAGCCGATATGGAAAGTCAATGCTCTCAGTGTTCTGGATCTGGCGTAGGATAGTCATTACCGACTGTCTTGATAATGGTCGGATAATGATAAGCATGCGCTACTGCACACTTTTGAAGAAATTGCGAGATGGCCTCAAGCAGAATCGCCGCAAAAAAGCCCAAGAAAGATGTTTTATCCTCACGGACAGTGCCCCCACCCATTCGTCCTGAGCTGCGATTGAAGAAACAACATGATGTGGATATTAAATCCTACCGCATCTAACAAATTCGCCTGACCGGGTATTAACTAACTCTTGATTGTTACGGGAGATGAAAAATCCACAGTATGGCCGGTGATTGGAGGACAGAAATGACGTCATTGATGAGGTGAAGCAGTGATTTACGGGACAGTGCGAAGGTTCTACAATGACCGCCTGAGGCAGTTCAAGACACGATGCGATAAGTTTGCAGTCGTGTGTGACGACTTGTGAAGAAGTAATGAACATCATGTAAAAAAATCAAATTTCTATCACATCTAATTCATGGTGATGATCAGAACTTTTCGATACCCCCTCGTACACGGACCATAACGGACAGAGGACACGGACCATAACAGACAGAGGACAAGGACCATAACGGACAGAGTACACGGACCATAACGGACAGAGTACACGGACCATAACGGACAGAGGACACGGACTAAGCCGAGCCAGTGCGATCCGAGAACAGACATGAGATCATAATAATAAACGGATTAACATCACTTAATTTGCCACCTGCCCACCTCTTCGGCTCCAAAACCAAAGCTGATGCGCATCTTCGTGGGCATTTCCCTCTCTGTCCCAGCCCTCTGTTGAAAGTTCTCCCCGTTATCCCTCTCCTTCATAGTTCATACGTCCGTGACCCGCCACGCACCGCCCGGCTCCGTCGCTCAGCACGGTAAACAACAGGGACCAAAAGTGCGCCGGGCTTCGACTTCCGACTGATCCCCGAGTTCGACGGCGAGAGGGGAGACGTCGTCGAGGGGTTCACTCGGGCAGAGGTGCTGTGCAGGCACCATGGCCAGCGTGCTGCCTGTGCGACTCATGGGGGCGGTGCCTTCGCCGCCTGGCTGGCGGCAGCGACTCTGCCGACGCTGTCAGAGACCCATTGTATGATGCGTGCAGCCATGGACGCGCTGGCGGCGTATGACGCGTACTCAAGCCGCCTACCGCAGCCCAGAGAGTCGGCGGACGTCTACCTGGCGGAGCTGCGCCGGCTCACCACGCTGTATGGCGACGTGCCGCACAGGGCGCTGGCCAGTGCTTTCATCGCCGGGCTACCAGACGCCGTTAGCAGCACAATTCGGGGCGACACGCGCGCAGAAGGCCTGGATCTGGCCAGCATCCTGGCGCGGGCAGTGTTGAGTGACGAACGTGTTCTCGGCAGCAGCGGGTGTGAGACGCCAAGACACCGGCAGGTCGGTCAGACCAGCGGGTCACCACGGTCCACGGCGGACCGGGCACGGCGTTATTAGACATGCAGCAAGACCGGTCACCTCGCCAGGAGCTGCATAAACGTCGAGGAAACAGCGTCAGCGCGAGCGCCGTCTCCCAGTCAGTAGCTCGCGCACTTCCAGTCGTGATATTTACACGGAGAGCACTGTTCTTGTGGCCTGCGTGCGCAGGCCAGCTACTTCACCGAGCGTGGACCCGTGCCGGCCCAGCGCGCGGGCCGTGAAGACTGACGGGCCGTCCTCTGACGTCCTCCGTGCATGGTGGCAACACTGCGATGCAGTACCTGGAGGAAAGCCGAAACACCAATCAGTCCTCCGGACTGGAGTGTGCCGTCGGTTACTGCTTAGAATAAGCGGCTGAAAAGAAAAACAGACGCCTGTTGTGCTGACATGATAGTCAACAGAGAGGAATGGAATGGCGATTCCACTGCCGCGGCCCGCGACATTTTTATTCCGCTAGATGGCAGGAAGGGAGAGCGCCTGAAGTTATGCTGTACCGCAAAGCTTTAGAGATCGAGAATCTCCGCTAGCAGTGCGGAAAATGGCTCCAGATATAGAGCTGTTGAAGGAGCTGCCATTCGTGGTTCCGAATCTAACGGCTTTCAAACTGCAGGGTATGCTTCGGTCGGCCCTGTTCTTGCACCTACCAGTGAAATGTGCGCGCTCTTGCTCGACAGCGTCAGCTGGTACCGCGGTCGCCGCATCGACGGGTCTGGCTGGCACCTCGCCGGCATCAGGGGCGACGGGAAAACCAGAGGCGGATCCAGCTCAGAGTTTTTTTTGGGAGGGGCAAACCAACAATTTATCGATTCTTTCCATGCCTCGTCCACAGGCGTAATGTTAAAATTATGCCGTTTGGGAGGGGCAAATGCCCATTTTGCCCCCCCCCCCTGGATCCGCCACTGGGGAAAACCACCGTCACTCGTCAGTGTCGGGGCAAGCTGGTGCGCCTGCACCGAACCTGACACAGGCAAAGCACGTGTCTGCATGAGGGGTAACGAGTAGCGAGTGCCTGTACCTGTTGTATAATAAAGTCAATTTCTGAAGGAACTACGGACCGGAACACAATGTCGGCTGCTGATACCAGCCGCGGGCCGGACGTCAGATCGTCCGGGGCCGGATCCGGCCCGTGGGCCGTAGGTTGCCGACCCCTGCTATAGAGTATAGACACTAGTCGATTGGTGCCCTTTCCTTTAGGTAGTTTCGATCGGCCCGGTGGTTTCGTCTTTCGATGTGGCTGCGGAGTTCTATGAATCATAGACTATGATGTTTTACCCTGGAGTTCTATAGCCTTGGTAGCTGCAGCACTGCAAGCCAAGAGTGGCAATAATGGCATGGGCCTTCTGTGTACCTAGTACCTACTGTAGTTTTAGGCATAGGCATTAGGCGGCGGAACGGGGAGGGCACCGGCCAGAGCACCGTACCCCCCTTTGATTTTGGCATTTTCACTGTTCACATTAGTCCTATGGGTGTTGCATGGAAAGAATGGGACCAAAAGTCGGCAGTACCCCCCCCCCCCCCCTTAATTGAAGGTGTTCCGCCACTACTGCCGGGCCTTGGCCTGAACGAAGACTACCCAGGACTCACCCAGGAACCTTCTGCCGGGGGCCTGCAGCTTTTTCTTGGCCAAGCTGCAATATGAAGTTTTTTCCGGGATCTGGAAGCAAAATGTAACAGACAATACCTGCGCAGTATTTCTCACCCATTCTGACCATTCTGTTCACAAAGCGTATCAGCGGGTCACAACTCACAAATGATTCGTAGCCTTCTCTGATTAGCCTGTACTTGAAACTTGCTTTTAACTTAGTTCAAAATTGAACAGTCTCAGCTTATCCTGTGTGTTGTGCCTTGGTTGTGCCAGCCAACCAACCGTTCGGGTTGTGCCCAAGCTGTGTGTGTAGGTACCGTAGGTACTCTGTCTCTTTCGTCCGCGATTCCCTAGGCTTTTTCTCTGCCTCATTCACCTATTGTGTTCATATACATACCAGTTTTCCTGGCTAACCAAGTAAGTGGAGTAAATTTTTGATCGTGATTATTGTAGATTGTAGAATGTAGGTATAAGACTGAGATGGCCGTTTTTTTCTTAGCACAAATTGACTGATAAGGATGAGATTGAGATTCTCCACAACTTCATTTTGTACTTTATTTCAACTAGGTACTTGCAATTGAATATGGTAATTCCTGTATAATTCTTTTAGTTTTTTTTAAAGGGTGCCAAAGGCAGGGGGATGGCACCACTTTGCTTCACCGGCATGGGTTGAGTACTGATGCCATTGGTTTTTAGTTCGGTTACATCGGTGCTGTGCACATCTGGGCACTGGTAAATGTGTAGATGAACTACACTGTATAGTGAAGATAGAAAACATATTCTAACCTGACCTTACCTTACTTATTAACTTACAACCTTGAACCTACCAACCTAAAACCTACAACCTAGGGTATTAGTAGAGGAGACGTCACAGTCACACGGAGGTTTTCCAACCAAGGAGAGGCACTATACCCGGAGGTGCTTTTTTCTAACAAAACCTAAACAAATCTAACCTAACCTAACCTAACCTACAACCTACAACCTACCCTACAACCTACAAACCTACGGCGCCTCTCCTCAATTGGAAAACCTTTGTGTGACGTCTGCTCTACTAATGCTCAACCTAGGTACTAACCTACCATTCAGACTTCATCTTCAGTTCACATTTCAGTAGGCGGAACTATGGTCAAGCGTACCCATTTTTGGGAACGAATTTTCGTTCCCATGTTTGGGAACGATAAACCCAAATATGGGAACGCCATGTAGGCATTATTTAAAACAAGAAAAAGAACCGTTAAATGACGTCCAAAAAATATAAAACGATCGTGAACCACCTGATATTTGTCTCAATATTGTTGGGAAAGAGTTTGATATTGTAAGGCCCATCGTAGTTTCAAATCGTTCCCCTATTTCTAAAGCAGTCCATCATCCGGGCCGCGAGCCCAAATTTGGGAACGCTCTCGTACACTGGCGCTGCAAGCGTTCCTTATTATGGGAACGGCGTACCCAAAATTGGGAACGATTTCACCGACGCCTTTCAGGGGCTCTTTTCATTAACAAGCATCACGTCCAACGCCGCAAATTATTGTTAACGCAACAATCATCAGATGACCTTTCCGGCAAGACCGTCGCATGTTTCGCCTGGTTTCGCCCGGTCTTCTGCGCTTTTATTCCCGTCGATCTCGCAGCGGGCACGCCCCCCTCTGCAGGATTACGTAATTCACAACGCTCAGCGATGTTCAACAAGGTCTTCCATACCTATATCCACCGTCCGCGCCGAGGGTGGAGACATGTCAAGCACCTGTCTGTTTATCACCGATAGTTGACGAGCACAAGGAAGTATCCAAAAATGGGAACGCTGAATATGTTACACCCTCAAAACACCTAGTCCCAATGAAAATCTAGTTTTTTCCTTTCTTGATGAGTGTAAGTGGCAAAAGGCCTGGTAGGATGGGCACGAGGAATGATCGAAATCAGCATGAAAATTATAAATAAGCCACACAGAGCGACCTATATAAGAGAAATTCCCCCAAAACGATCACGCTTAGAAACACGGAAGACAAAAACCACGCTCATGACGCTCCTTATAAAACAACTCTAAACAGCTAGCATCCAAATGAAATATGTCTATCTGGGATGATATAATACAGCTGAATAATTTTAAACCACTGAAACTGAGTTTACAACAGTAGTTCGGTAAAATCACTGACGTTCCATGCGGTCGTGCGCCCCGACACCAAATGTCACCAATATTACCCCCGGACTGTCCGCGTGTTCGCTTGCATATGTCAGCATCTAGTGTCGCTAGTATGAAACTTCATAACCAGGCGAAAATTATTATACTTGACCTCAAAATGTAAAAACCCGTCATTTTCCTTAAAATTGCAAGTTAAATGTAGTATAACCCATGTTTTCACCATTCCGTCATTTCAAAAAATCATTAAAAATATCATTCGACGGTCAATTTCCTTGTGCAACGGTCAGATTAAAGATAATTTTATAGAGACTTAGTAGATACTTAAATTAGCGTGCACTTTTTTGAGACGTGATGCACTAATGAGTTTTAGTGGGCGAACGGCCGAAAAATTACCTTCCGTTCCCATAAATGGGAACGCCCGTTCCCATATTTGGGAACTCCGTTCCCAAAAATGGGAACGTTCCTATATTTGGGTACTCATGACCATAGTTCCGCCTACTGATTTACCTGATATACCAGAACTTCTTGCACTTGTTTCTCCCAGAGGCAGCCATATTGTTTGGCCCAGTGATGACACAGTTGCATCATCATGTTTGTTAAATGTTACCAGCTGTAAGCTAATCGCTTAGTGTGGCTACCTCCTATGAGTCCTGTATATGGCCTTGGCAAAAGGAGGAAATCATCAAACCTGAGAAGGTGATATTGGATGCTTCTTATTTATCCTGCCTATGGGATGCTATCTTAGATCAGATATCTTGCCTTATTCAATGGTAAGGTCATCTCAAAACAGCCACTTTACAATTATGGTCATTTATTGAATTCTGACATTCAAATAGCTGATTGCTCTGGAAATGTTTTTTTTTTTTTGCACATCAGTGCAAAGTTAGGTACCACATTTTTTATCCTTTCGTCATAGAGAAGTGTAAGATAGAAATAGGGTCTGCATTGTTTTTAGGCCAGATGTCTCATGAAGCTCTTTTAAAAAGAGAAACATGTGTCTTATATAAAATCACATTTTTATATTGTCTATGCCTTTTTATCAGTTTAGAGGTCTCTGGTTAGTCTTCTCTGTCTCGTATCCTCCTGTTGTGAAGTTCAGGTGAAAAAGTTTGGCCCTGTCGTCCTGTATGACAAACATTCCATTTTAGGAATGCATTTAGTCGCATGTCTCTACTTTCTCTCTAGCTTCTTAATTTTTCCAATCTTTTAATTTACCTGCCTATTTATGTGAAGAAATTTGTGAATATTCATAATAGGCAGCACGTGCCAGGGGCAAAATGTGCCTGAGCTGAAAGTGCAAAGAGCTCTGTTCGTGTGCTTGAGCAGTGGCGGCCGGCTGCGACACATTCCTCTCATGTGGCATCATCGGGGTCACGATCAGCGCTCCAGCTCCTCCGCCGCGGTGCACTCCCTCTTCGGCGGAGCCACCCGACCGGTGACCATATCCTGGGCCCTGTTTCAGCAGCACGCTGCTATCACACGTGTCAAATTGGGTTTCCATGGAAACATCAACAAGCCATGACGCCGTCAATCTGTGTGATGTCATCAAACATCGCTGCTAACATCTTCACGGCCGTGCGATCAAACAAATGTATCAAACGCAATTCAACGAGACAACATTTCTGTTCCAAACGCAGCTCACGGATTACACGAAACGTGGCATTAGTGTGACCTCATCACATTACGTCAGCTCGCGCAATTTGATAGTAGCGTGCTGCTATCACCGGTGAAACAGGGCCCTGGTGGCGTCCGCCGGGAATGCTGCTAACAGCTCCTACCGTTATACGATGGAGGAGGGCAGTACGGGGTCGCACTCTCTTGCGCCGATCGCTGCGGTGGCCGTCGAACTTCAGCAAACGGTCGGAGGTGGCGCGCAGGAGACGCATTGTGGCTCCACCACTAACTAAAGCTCCTGTGATCCAGATTGAGAGCTTCGAGGCGTCGCGGGCCCATTGGGACAGAACGAGCTTCTGGGTCTTCACTCCCGCGACGCGCATCTTTCAGCGGTCAGCGGAGGCGGTGATGGTGTCCGCTGCTTGTTGGACTCGTCTCCGCGCCTTCTCGATTGTGGCGCCGCTGCTCATTCTCGCTGTGTCGCTGCATACATGATTTCCATGAAGGTCTCGGTACCGGGAACAGACCTCAGGGCGGTGATCAGATCCGCCGCTCACAGCGTGTAGAGTGTGGGGGCCAGCACGCAGCCCTGACGGAGGCCGGCTCGGTAGGGACGCTCTACTTTTTGCGCCATTGACCACCACAGCCACTATACGGTCTGGGAAGGACGTCCAGACCCAGTTGGTCAGACACTTGGGGTCCTACTTCGAGTTGGAGCAGTTCAGTCGAAGCATGCTTTGGTTTACAAGGAGAAGCCGAATGCGAGCAGGGCGAACTTCTCGGCAGTATTCCCGTCAGCGGCCCTTCTCTTAACTAGGTTTCGGTTTGTTGCAACCATCTTGCACAAGCTGGATGAGTCTTGCCAGGAAATTATCTTAGCTCAAATGCTTGAATGGATGGAATGCCAGAGCTGGAGCCACTCTAAGCAGAGCTTGTTGCGTAGGCCCCGATCCCTACCGTCCGATCGTGCGATTCCGGGCAGCGGGAGAATTTAGATGCCAAAGTTCAGTGTGCTCATCAAGCCGGACACGTTCCATAGTTCAACTGTTCTGAACTGACTGCGGCTGCTCCCACCAACCATTCCGTCAGGAGTCTCATAATATTGAGCGCCGGAGTGGCTCGAACCCGGGCTCTCTTTACCGGGGTTCGAGTGCTCTATCATTACCAACTGAACTTCGGGACGGAGAGGGTTCAAGTATATGGTTGGGTTGTACCTCAGGCATTTTAGCTATCCTGGGCCTCTGTATAATTGTTTAGAGCAAAATGATTTCGTACTCATGAGTTCACTATATCAGGGCTTTTTTTAGGTGATATATCAAAATAAAACCTTACGTATCCAAATAAAAAGTGTGACATTTTACGCATCTCATACGACCATCTCATTGGGACCACCGACCAAGATCATTGTTCTTTTGCTATGTTGTTAGAAAAACTGAAACCTCATTTCAGAGTCATCAAACTGACTTTTGAAACTGTCATTTGAAGGACAGCTGGTGTTTGTTCTTATATTCCGGTTTAACCAGAGAACTTTAAGGTCATTACCAGTCGCCGCTTTTCGTCACGGTGGTGTCTTGCGTTTCTCCTTGACGCTCTTGCATAATTAGGGGCGGAACGACGAGAGATGGTGACAATGACCATGGGTGCACTCGCCCCCTTCTCGACCAGAACATATGCAGACAACTGATGGGAAAGGTTCGATCTCTGATCCGAGAAGGGTGACCGTTAGGGTACCGTAAATAGTAGGTAGGTAATAATCTCTGTGGCTAATGTATGTTACTAATGGAACCGTGGCATTCGTTTTTGTATGTTGAGCCTTATGCCTTAGTATCCTTCCAGAATGTCATACAATACAAAACAACCTTACACATACATTCATTCTTACACTGCCCCACCCCTCACTTCCCACTACCTCCCTCCCTGTCCTACCCTTCTCTCCCCCTCTCCCAGTACCTCCCTCCCTCCCCTCCCGTCCCTCCCTGCCGCACACACTCGGCCGTCTCCCGTTTCGCGGCAGCCGTCGGTGTGGTAACTTGGTCGGTGCTGTCGGACCACCGTGCCCCGAGTTATTCACGCCGGTCGGCCTCTGCTGGCGCCGCGCCCAGCCCCCTCCCCCCCCCCCCCCGTGAGTCGCCGAGGGGCGGCGGCCCGCGCCGGGCAGTGAAGCGGCGCAGCGCGGCGGCAGTGGCGGTGAATGTCCCAGTGGTCTGTCGGCGGCCGTGACCTGACCTTGAACGTGGTGCTGGTGCGGAGAGCGGAGCGCCTGACCCTGGTGTGCGCTGTATCGATACGGTGCCAGTCCGCGGGCTCTCACTCCTTCTGTCCGTCAGACGGTGCTCAGAGGTCTGTCGGGGACGCTGCTGACGCTGAGACTCAGTGTGTTTTATATAGGTAGTGACTTTTTGTCAGTGGTTGGTGACGAGCTGATCCGCTGTGTCTCGCGCAGTGATGATTGTGGTCGTGAGTGTGACTGACCTAGGACACTTTGTGGCCCGTTATGTTTGAGGCTGTTCTGTGCAGTGATTGATATATAGGAAATTGGTACCACAGTATCTCTTTCTTACTCCTCGGGCAGTGATATCAGCAACGCAGAATTTTATTCTCTTAAGACGATGGTGTATTGACCTACTGTGCTTCAGACGGGAACTTCTATCTACGATCTTAACTGGTTCCGTACATTTTAGCGCAGTTTTTTATTCACCTGTCAGTGGCACAATTGTATCTCAGCTGGTTTCGTCATTGACCTTCCCGTTTTTTTTTCCAGTCGGCAGCGATGTCGGCGCCGAGTGTGGGCGGCGTCGGTGACCCCGCCGTCGGCCGGCGCCCGTCGCCGCGCTCCGACCAGCCGCTGTACCGTCCGCCGGGTCGCCGACTCGCCGCCGATCCTCCGCCGGTGCCCGCGGCCGACCGGCGGCCGCCCCGTCAGCTGTACGTGCCGCCGCGCGGCCGCCGGCTCGGCCTGAACCGGCCCTCGTCTCCCGGCTTCTCGACCTGTTCCGAGATCGTCACCTCGTGGCGGACGGCGCCGGACGCGGGCCCGGCGCGGCCGCCGCCCGGGCCGCGCCGCCGGGTCTCCCAGCAGACCCGACAGCACGTGGAGCGACTGGCGGAGGCCAGCGCGGCGCAGGAGGACGCCCGCTCCGGCCCGGGTGGCAGTCCGCAGCACGGCTCACCCCCAGAGCAGACCGGTAAGCGGTCGGGCCGGCGGCGGCGGCGCGGCGGTCGACGCTCGCGGTCCAGCTCGGAGGACCGGTCTGCCGTCGTCGCCGACGGGCAGCCGTCGTTCCAGGTGCCGCTGTTCCCGCTGTCTCCGACGGCCACCGCGCCGCGACCAGCGCACGTGCCGTGGCGCTCGAACGCCGCCAGTGGACGGTTCACCCCGACCCCGGAGCGGGAGACGGCGCGACCGGCGGCGGTGAGACCCCGCTTCCAGCAGCCGTACCAGCCTCCGGCACTGAGGGACAGGCCGGCATCAGCGGCGGCTGAGCTGCCTCCCTCTCCACAGCGCCAGCCGTACAGCAGCCACGGCTCGCCGCAGCAGCGGAGGGGCGCCCCAGCTGACTCGCCCCGGCGCGGCGCGGCGACGCCGAACTGGCGGGACAGTGGCGACCCGCGCTCCCCGCCGGCCTGGGAACCGACCTCCCCGCGTGGGACACGGAAGCGACGTTCGCAGGACGCACGGACGAGCCCGAGAGTGAAGCCGCCGAGAGACGGCGCCGGTGTGAGACCGTCCCCAGCCGCAGTCGGTTCTGACCTCATTGGAGCTCAGCCGGCCAGTCCAGAGCATGACCGGTCACCGAGCGTGACCGCCTGTGTGGCCCCCTCCTCAGTACCTAGCAGCTCAGTCGTAGAAGCTGTCGTCGAAATGGAGGTAGACGTGGAGCCTGCGCTGCCGGAGAGACAGTTCGACCTCCTGGTGAATACAACAGACGATGAGAAGGCGTCCCTGAGCGCCCGCCGTGTTGTGACTGAGACATGTGTTAGAGTGGAATGGGGTGCGTCGGGGGAGCAGCCGGAGTCCTGGGGCGGCCGCTCGCCCGTCAGTGTCCTGGAAGCCACGACAGCCACGATGGTACTCGGATCTCCAGTAGAGGTGGATGACTCCTGGCTCCCTGCGCCGCTCCCGTCAATGGACGACCCCGAGTCTACCGCTCCCTCAGAACCATCCCGGACCGAGCAGACCCTGGCATCAGACCCAGCCCCGTCCCGACGCCGGTCGTCGGCGTCGTCGGGGGTGGTTTACGAACAGTTCGACTGGGCCGACGAGATGGAGGAGTGGGAGAAAAACTACACCGACGACGGAGAGCCCACCGGCAAGGTAGGTGTTACTAGGGTGGTTTTAGTGTCTTGGGTGTATCTGGACCGGGCCCGGCTGTGTATCGGTGCTGATAGCTGTGTTTGTGGGATATTTTTTTGTGAAGAGCAGAGATGTTAGGTCCATCGCAGCCAGCTACGGATGTAGCCATTCTTAAGTATTTGCACAGGTATTCGTGGTCAGTCATTCTAAATTTACCTGACAGAATAGCCGTCCATCGACCGAACAGTACGAACTGTTACTGTCCGTTTCCCGGGTTGTTACCATTTATACCCGAACTGTCGTCCGTTGTCACCCGCTCAGCTGTGCTCAGACTGTTTGAACCCCCCTCCCCCTCCTATTTCCTCGCCGATGACACGGAGTACCGGTACTGAAGCCGGACATTTCCTGTTGTGGGCCATCCCGGCCACGATTACTGAGCGGCTGAGTGTCAGGGAGGCGCCAGCCGGCCGGTCGGTAACCTCTCCAGATGCCCTGTCCGTCACCAGGGGTGTGTTGGCTGCGCTTCAAAGGCCTCACCGACGGACAGACACTTCCGACAACCACAGGCGGGCATGTTTCAAAACATAATGAGTTCCAGGAGATGGTCCACAAGACTGGTTTTGTTTCCGCGTCCGTCTTGTTCCCGTGTATTGGTGATATTCGTGTGTTTTTGTTGTGACTCGTTTGCTGTCTATTGTTTTGTTTTCACTGATATTGCTCACACTTTTTGGCAGAGCTCCAAACAGTTTGATTTCAGTCTCCTTTAACTCCTACCAAACGTATCTGACCGCGTTCTCGGATATTCCTCAGGTGGCGCCACCGGCCGCGCCGCGACCCGTCATCGACTACCTGGCCTGGCGGCCGCCGTCGCCCCCGCCGGCCGAGGAGCCGGACGGCGCCGCCGAGCCGGCGGAGCTGCCGTCGCACGTGCTGGAGGTGTACGACTTCCCGGCCGCGTTCACCACCCAGGACCTGACAGTGGTGTTTCAGGAGTTCGGCGCGCGCGGCTTCGACGTCCGCTGGGTGGACGACACACACGCACTGGCCGTGTTCGCCAGCGCCTCCGCCGGTAGGGGTCTGGGGCGGCACTGGCAAAGGGCCTAGCTCGGGTCGGGCTGGGTCTGGGTGAGGACTTTAAAGGGACTGAGTAGAGTAACAGTCATTGGTATGGTTTGGGATAGATCTGAGTTTGTGATGAGGGATAAAGGTGAGAACAGAAAGTGCTTATCTAATGAGGTTGCTGTCTTATGCTGCACAGTTGAAAGTAATGACCATAGTCACAGCGGTCATCACTTTTATGTTGCCAATGCCCATAGCCATTTCTGTTTGTGACGGGGAGACTTGGGTTGGATAAGGGCAAGTCCTTAGTGACCTGACCATCCCACCCTCCCTGTGCTCCGACAGCGGCCGTGGCTGAGACGCTGCTGCGGGACCACCCGCTGGTGCGGTGTCGGCCGCTGTCGCAGGCCTCGCCCAAGGCCCGCCAGAAGGCCGCACGGTGTCAGCAGACGGCCGAGCTGCTGCCACACCGGCCGCGGCCCGAGACCTGCGCCCTCCAGGCGCGGCGCATGGTGTTCAGCGCGCTGGGCAGACGCGACTCGGCGCCGCGCGAGCAACGGGAGCAGGAGCGGCGCCAGCTGCAGACGGCACGAGGTGAGGACAGGACGGCTGCAGACGGCTAGAGGTGTGAGGGTAGATGTCGCTGTGGAACGTACCGTTCTGATGGTGTGACTTTAGCCTGTGGTTGTGTGTTGTGAAGAGCCAACGACTCTCGCACCGACGCTCAAACTTACATTTGTTCATTGACTCTATTTTATTGTTTATTTGTTTAGGCTATAGGATTTGTTCAGTTTGTAATTTGTGTAGGTTCATTATTTATCTTTTTCGTGGTGATCGAGAGGAAACTTGATAAACCTTCAAATTCCGTGCCGTATTGTGACGGGTCTTTCTCGGTGTTTCTCACAGATAAGAAGCGACTGGCCGCTAAGCAGAAGCAGGACGCGTGGGAGGGCAACTTCAGCTGAAGAACTGACGTCCGACGGGGATCGGCTGGTGCGCGATCCACCAAGTCAGGGTGAGGGGCTGAGGGGCTGGGGGTTACTGACGGAGGTCGGTCGGGTGGGTGCGGTGAAGGCAATATTGACAGTTTTGTACTGGACGTGAGCGAGATGGATTCTCCTGGCGGAAGATATAACCCACAGCGGCTGTGGAATTTCGTGGAGTAACTGGGCGGGAAGTTTCAGAGTTTCATCCATCGAGCGGTCGTAGGATAACAATGAACTATCATTAGCTCACCTGCAGTGTAGCGTGTTTAGGTGCCGGTTTTCCGACGCACAGCTTTACAAGAAATGTTGCGCCGCAATGCCCGTACAAAACGTGGATCCAAAGCCCGCTCACTGCCGTGACGATATGTGATCACTCTCGAGTAGTCGGTGAAGCTGTAGGTTGTCACGTGGTGTCACTCTCTTTCACCCGATCAAAGTCTATGTCGTCCCTATAAATGTCTTGCTAGCTGTAGTGAAAAGACATTTGAGTATTATTTTATCATGAATGACATATTGCTTCCTGGCTTAGGAAAATTGTCTGTCAGTTATTGGGTGGCAAATTGAAACAGCTAAGCAGATCTTATTTAATATTTTATTTGTGAACATGTTTTTGTTCGCCGTGTTGGTTTTCATCATAGAAGGCCGCTTGTCTTATAATAAGTCGCTTCATTTTTGTGCGTCGAGAACACTCACTACAATTGCTGACAGACTTATCCCTGCTTCTGAAAGTTTAGTGTAAAAATGCGGATCTTGTTACAAAAGCCGTCAAGCAGTAATTACTAACGCCATAACGCCCATCGCCTATAGATAGGCGACATTGTGCACTGCTAGGCTAGGATATTGTGCATCCGAACATTCGAATCTTTGCGTCCATTTGCTTTCTGCCATAAAACTGATCACTGTTGCCGCCGAGGTGTAGATTTAGTACCCGATTTATGTGCTGACGGTACAAAAGTGCGCCTACTTAGCTGAGTGATTGAGGTCCATGATTTTATACCCTGCTTGTGTTTGTGTTTGTGTTTGTGTTTGTGTTTGGTTGAAGTACGCTTAGACTGTAATGCATGCTCAGTTTTTGTGCATTTGTCAGCAATTCTATGCGTTAGTGATATTTTCCTTTTCACCCCTCCCTGTCAAACCATCTCGAAAACTGTGTTCTTTGCTCAAGATAAGTGTGTCGTTTTCCCGGCTTTAATTGCTGCATTAGACGACCATGCGATATTTGAAGCTCTGGTTAGCAGCTCGTCCCTGCAGCCCGCAGGGTTTTCTATATAGGATCACTCTCAGTTGTGTACCAAGTGAGCTGACTGACGCGTCAGGCGCCGACGCTCTGTAGGAAGCTGTGTTCATTCGTGAAGTCTACACACCTCACCTGGCGTTTGCGACGCGCTGTGGTTCGTGTTTATGCGAACCGTTCCTGTTGTGTCTCGGTGGTGCTGGGTCCGAACTTGCGGACGGGATCCGCTCACTCTGGCAGAGCTGTAAATGACGCTGGGTGTGGCCGGTGCGTTGGTCGGTTTGTACAGACACGACATGCGGTCAAAGTTGGGCGGAATTCGCGCTCTACCCCGTCGCGTGTGAGTGACTGAATGTGTGGGGTGACGACTGATCCGACTGGCTCCCTCCGTCCTCCGTACGTCCTGTCAGTGTGTGACCATACTGTCCTTGCCATCCAGGGCAGACGGACCGAACTTCCCCCATGTGTGTCGACGGGGATGCCGCGGGCACGGGCGTGTGTGGCGTGTTGTAGCGGTGAGAGAGGTGATGAGCTGAATCTTCCTATGAGCCAACAAAGCTGTGTCCAAAGACGTAATTCTGGTGCTCTCTTGAGTTGGTGAGATGCTGTGCCGTGTCACTGACCTCAAATACACGGAGGTATTTGGAACGTATGACTATTTGAGGCATGGGGAGTTTGGTGGGTAGCTGAGGATGGTCCGTTGGAATAGGTCTGGTGTAGTTGCTCGCTTATCCTGTGTGCCAGAACTCAGCAGTGTGTTCGTTATATTTTGGGGAGTCCGTGGAGAGGTAGACTCTCGTTCGTTCATTTGTATCGGTCCTTTTTGATTCAATGCGGTTTAAACTCGCAGACCCTTTTGTTCGTAGTGAGACAGGCAGCCGAAGCGTGTCCACTGTCCTCTGCCCCCCCCCCCCCCCCCCCCAGTGCTTTTGATGTGGTGGTTGTGCCTTTTTTTACAACAGCACACAAGCAATTTACCTAAGCTATTTAATATATTTACAGATATTTTATGACAGGTTGAATACACAAGCATCATAAGTTGAGCATCGGCAGGCGAATCCAACCAACAATCAAATACAGAAGTCATTCTGTTAGAATGTTCTACTGGTCTCAAGATACAGGTTCCAGCGACCAGAAGTTCGGATACGATTGATACCCTAATTCTCGCCCCCAATCGAGTGGGGGCACCGGGCAGGGTGCACTCGCTCCCAGTTTGAGAGCTAAGTGGATCTGAGTACAGCTGGGGCATTCCACGATAGATCGTACCAGGCCCGTCACCCTCATCTCTCAGATTTGAATGAAAATTGGTACAAGGGGTAATCATAGGCTCCAAAAACACCTGCCAAAATATCAGACTTCTCAGATGAAAACTTTTTGAGTTACATTGCATAATATTTTCTTAACTTCAGATTGTAAGGGTGAGTTTGATGAGCTATAACTCAAAAACGAGCTAAGCAAGCAACAAACGGTAAACAGCTTTGAATTAACGATGAATCAAAGATAAATACAGTATTTTTAAAATTGGAAAGAAAAGCTTTACATTTTGAAAAAAGTCGTAGTATTTTTTTTAAATTGTCTATAATGGCCCTTGGGACCAAAATTTTTGCCATTTTTATTTCTTAAAAATAAACCTCAGGTCCTTTAAAATCGACATGCAAAAAATTAGAAAGGTGTTCTTTCTATAAGTTCCTCATTTAAATGTATACAAAATGGGTTTCCGGGGGGGTCGGCACGACCCCAGCTCGCCGTTTCGCCTCTAATGGAGCTAGAACCTTGCGGAAAAAACGAGCATGTGCGCCGTTACAAGATGCATCGAATGATACCAAATTTTAAGGTCTCGGGTTCATTAGTGACCCCTGAGGTCATTTCAAGTGACCCAAAATTATGGGTCCGGTTTTTGATAGATAACTTCGCAACAAATGGTCGCAGAGCCGCGATTTTAGCATCTTTGTGTTTGCCTAGCTCCTGCGCGTCGAATGGTATACTGTTTGTTCTGGTGAAGTCAGCTTAAGTCGCTGACCTCGGGTAAGCACACTGCCGTGTATTTGGCTCCGCGCCCCGACCGGGCGGCCCAGCCGGCAGCCAGCCCTCGGGCATCACGTGATCGCCCCGAGTCCGCGGCAAAGCCAACCAGCGCGGCGCTGGACAAATGGCGCCGCTACAGAGATGCTTAACAGTCGGGTCAGGCCACGAAGCTGGGTGAATGAGATCATTTTGCACATCATTCGATTCGCAAGGTCTTCCCGAGTCCATTGGTAGCCTTCCCGTCTCTCTAGCTCAATTTGATCGAGAGTTATTGACGAAAAACTCTTATGACCCTAGTGACGTACGAATGACGTCACGCAAGGTCAACAACGCAAAAGTGAGGCAAAAATGACTTCAATTGAACGTTCAGTAACCAGTGATGTCACTAGGCAGCTTTACCACACCATTTGTAGGCTCTCTTCCAAAATCACAATTCGAGACCATTACGGTGACGCAAAATAAGTACATTTATAGAAAGAACACCTTCCTAATTTTTTTGCATACTACTTAAAAATGATCCAAAAATGTTTTTAAGCAAATAAAAATTCAAAAAAATTTGGTCCCAAAGGCATAAAAATGCAAATGAAAGGAAACTCGAGGTGTTATATATAAAAAATAGTATATATTTCAAAATTTTAAAAATGCATATTATTCTTTGTTTCAATGCAAGTTCAATGCCGTATAGCATTTGGCATTTGGATTATCCGTCTTAGAGTTACAGCCCGCCAAACTTGGGGCTGCAACGCAAGATCCAAAACATGTTATACACTATAACTCAAAAACCACTCGTCTGATAAGCCTGAAATTGTTACAGGATGATTCAGAGCCCCTGATTACCCCTTAGACCAATTATCGTTGAAATCCGAGAGATGAGGGTGTCAAATTGGAAAAAAGTGGTACGATCTATCGTGGAATGCCCCAGCTGTCAGTCTCAGTCGACAGCTCGGGGTATTCTCAATATCCAGACTGCTGGTCCCTGGAACCCTTATCTTGAAACCAACACTACAACAAAAGTGGCCGAGTTAGATGACATCCGGACGGCTTTCGGCTCCCCTATAACTTACAATTAATAACATTGTATAAACACGTCACACGCACCATTCGGTCAAGGCCTCTGTTGAGGGAATTCATTTCTCACGTTCGCCAACTTGCATACAACTGATACAGACAACACAGTTCTCAAATAACCGGTGTTGATGTTGCAACTAAAGCAAATAAATAATATAATGATCAACAGGTAAAATGATCGAGATTCGCACAATGCGCACAAATAACTTTCAAGCATTCCGCGAAACTCTTCCTGTATTACTCCAGCGCTGGTGAGTGGTTATCTTTCTCCTAAGCTGAATATCAGACTACCAAAAGCCCATGAATACATTTTCTTCTGTCCACACTTCTTCCAGTGCCTCCCGGACTCTGTCGGTCCCGACTACCACTGCTGGTCGATTTTCGGCCAGTCGGGGATGGGGTTTGGCCCGGGCCTTACCGCTGTCACCGACAGTCGGCTGGCAGCAGCCGCAGCAAACGGCGCCGAAAACTCGTCTCCGAACGGAGTCGGCTGCCCGCGGTGTCCGCCGCGCGGCGCCACTGGAGGCCGCCGTCTGATAGGTGTCGCCACCGTCGACTGCCGTCTGGTTTGAATGCGCTGCGGCGCCGCGGGCGATCGCCGCCTGGCCAGGAGACCCGGCGGAGTGAGCGGCTCCGCGGCGAACGCTGAGCCGAACTTGAGCGGCGGCGACTGGAGCTCGTCCTCCGACAGAGTGTCCGTCAGATCGTCCTCTTCCGGCCAGCCGTGGTCGGCGCGTGACTCGAGCACAGCGAACGGAGGTCCGAACTCAGGCTGCGCCGGGCGCCGGCGGGCGGACGTGGGCCTGGTCCTGGGCGTCGTTCGCCGCAGGGGCGGACCCAGCTCGTCTACGAACAGATTGGCGAACTGGGCGTCCAGGAGGGCAGACTGGGCGCGGAACGGGCCGGGATCGGCGCGCCGCCGCCACCCGGGTCTTGGCGCCGCCCGTGTGCGCTGCGTCGTCGTGGGAGTACCTCCGGTACTGGGTTTCGGCGCCGGGAACGCGCCCAGGATGGAGACCTCCTCCGAGCGGAGGAAGTCGTCGACCGTGTACAGGTCGGAGGAGGAGCGACGGGTCGAGGTTTCGGGCTGGACGTTCTGCGGTCGTGGTGCGCCGAAACCGTCCTCGTCTGCTGAAGGCCGAAGGAGAGAGTCTGAGTGCACTGGGCCGAACCCGGAGACGTCCTCACTGGCCTCATTGTACTCCGCCTCCTCTTTGGGGTCGGACAGCTGATTGACTGGAGCGGGCGGCGCTCCACCGAAACCCTCCAAGCTGGACGTTCCGCTGTCATCACCTCCAACGACGTCCGATGCCTTGGGCCTCGAGTAGGTGCCGAACGGTGTCGGCTGAACGTCCTGCTCCGGGCTGGGGAGTTGAGTCGGCGTTACGTATTCAGCAGCCTCGTCCTCCTGAGGTGCTGGATCTGGACTGGCTTCGAAGTGGGAGGGGAAGGTGTTCGCTGTCTGATCATCGCCGGGACTTTCGCCCGCGTTGAGGACATCAGCGTCTTTTGGCTTGGAGTAGCCCTGTGGCCCGTAATCCAAAATGGACCGGGTAGGCTGAGGAGTTTCATCTGCAACGAAAGGCCCGTTTCCGGTATCGATGAAGTTTTCGTTTTGCTCGAGCAGATCTCCTGGTCTTGGCGGAGAGAACCCTCGCACTGATTGAGATGGTCCAGGCTTTTGGTTTTCAGACTGACTGGGAGCTGCTGGCGCTGGGTCATCTTCCACCAGAGAGTTGGGGTTGAAACCAACAATATCCGCGTCTTTCGGTCGACTGTAGGCGTTTTGCTCTCCGCTTGCGGAATCGTCACTGGCTGGCTGGAATTGTATCGGAGTGGTACGGAAACCAAACGTCTGATCGGTGTCGTCTTCAAGGATGCTGCTCTCCTGCGGCGAGCTAAATCCGCCTTCCGTCCTCCTGTTGGGCCCAGCTGGAGGAGCCCCAGGCTGCTGAGGGAAGTAACGGGACCGCACGAACCCGGCGGCCTGGTCTTCCGACAGAATATCGTCTTGTTTCGGCCTCATGTACCCGTCAAGCTGCGCTTCCTCGACAGCTGGGGCACCTGCCGGTGAGCTTCCGCCGTCAGACACACCTTGATCTCCAACTTCAGATGTCACGGGGTGGAAGAACTGGTTCCTCTCCTCGTTCACGCGCACGTCGTCATCAAGAACGTCATCGTCTTTGGGAGCAGCGTACTCTGGCCTGTCGGCCTCGGTCTCCGCGTTCTCGGATGGGTCGGTTCCTGGATAAGTCGCTGGTGACGACGACAGGGACGTGGGTCCTTCCTCCCTGGGTCTGGAGTACCCCTCCCTGGGAGGCTGTGGTGGCACTGGCGTCGGCGCCTGTCCTACCTGCGGGGGAGCGACGCCATCGCCGATGATGTGACCGGGTTTCGGGGCACCAAACCCACCGTCACTGGCCGGCGTCGCAGGTGCCTCCGCGGATTCCAGAGGTCTTGTGGAGAACACCGCAGCGTCAACGTCAGCCTCCGACTCCTCCGAGCTCTCTTCGTCGAGTCCCGCCGGTAACGCCCCAAGAATGGTGGAGGCCTTG